TGCAAGCTTTTGTGTATCCAAGACACATCCCTATTCGTTCCCTACAACAGCACTGGGAGGAGAAGTGGTTTAGAATACAAAGTTGGCTGCAAGCAAACATACAGCCACGAGATCCTCAAGTAAAATTGAGTAACATAGCAGCACATGCAAATTGCAGGAAAATATGTTGAGGCTGATTTCTGGCTACCACAGGGTTCGGAATTTTGAGTTTCAGGATTTTGACTGCCTCTACTAGAGTCGAACTCTTAAACCAGCCCTTGGGATCACAGAACAGAGCTCGGCAGACTCAAACAGATGTAAGACTAGTACTACATTGAAGATAATAAGCTACTTGCCATATAGATGAAACAAGGAAAAAGAAGACAGTTGAGGTTCAATATAATGGTACAAAATTTGTCAGGTTCATCTGTACATATATTGGGGCTGGATCATCGGCTGTACTGATTGACAGTATCCACTGAAGAGAACACACGGTATGTCTGTAGCAACATGGTTCTGCCGGATACTAGCTGACACATTACTTGCCCTGACATTATGTTTAATGTTGTGAAGACACCTCAGCAACTACATCTGTAGAGTCACTCCACACCAGCAACACGTGGACGTGCCAGCACAGCACCCTGACACACCTACCCATGCAAGATTTACATTCCTCTGCATAGAGGCACATATTACTTTAGCACTGAATTTTCACTTCTGATAAATCACCTAATTCCTCTCTAATTGAGTCAATTATAATTGACACATTTGTACAGAAGACCACACTGTATCGCGGGAAAGCACGGACACCTAAGAAAAAGAAAAAGTTTCTGCCGCTCAAATTAAAGAAATAACTGCATGCACCTCTACGAACAAACTAGCTTTTACACACAGTACTAGAAGAAAAAAAAAAAAAAGTTTATCCTCTTTAGTGGTAAAGTGCATTTTTTCACTTGTTTCATCTATAGAACCATCTCATTGAGTTTTTCGTGGCCTACAAAGGCCAAACACAAATGATGTGGTGGATAGTAGCAGAGGCACTTTTTCATGTCAGTCAGATTAGAGTTAAATCCCCGTTGCATTTGGGGAGGAATCTGATAGAGAATGTGCACCTTAGAGAACAGGCAATGTGATTTCTAGCAGCCAGTTTTGATGTAGCAATCCGAGTTTCTTGTCACACCTGTTTTCTTGACACTGGGCATTAAGACTGAAAGAAAAACTTGGAGAGAAACCCACAGACTAACGTGCGCGTTTCTGATTCGCATACTCCAATTGCTACGATGGGGAGAGAGTTGATGACTTCTTCCCCCCTCCTCACAGTCTGAAAAAAGATAATAGGACAAACACTGTATTATTTTTAAGAGAAGATGTCAAGATGAAAAAATGAAAACGTCAAAAAAGAGGCTGATATACGGCATTACTTAAGGACTGTTTTGTTGAGAAAAACTGACCAAATGATTTACGGAAGGCTTTTAACAGGGCAGTCTTTGGATTACAGTGAAGATGAAAAATAAATGAAAATCTATTTCAAGTTTACTTTAGCCTAGTCGTTTGACAGATGAGGGCAAAACCTGGCAAGAACACAAGTTTTAATCTTCAGATGTAGTGACTTTATTTGCAGTTTTGCGGATTAGAAGTTTCCTCTGTGCAAAATAAGAGCTATCCATTTTCAGACATTTCCTGTCGAATCTCCTTTTTCTACCTGAAGCTCCCATGAGAGGCACATGAGCAAAAAGACCAGAGGACCGATGATGCTTCTGCTCATGGCACAAATCCCCACATACAGAGATTGTTCAGACTGTTGCAGCCGGTGTGTCCACGACCTTCTTCCCTTTCGAATTCTTCTTTCAAGCCTCCCTCTTGAAACACATCTCTCCTAATTAATTACTGGATTAACCAGCCTAGTATCAAGACTGCTCATGGCTGGAGGTGGATCTTGGAGCATGGACTTGTTCTCAGTATGCACAGCCTGGCACATTGCTGCCTGGCCAGATGGGTCCCCCATCTGCTCCTATTTGAAGTAGAACTTCCTGGAATTAGGGTTTTCCTCTTAACCTTTGTTTGTATGATTCCTTTGCTTCCTATTTTCATTCAGGTTTTGGGGTTTTTTTCCTTTTCACTAAAATCACCTGAAACACATCAGAGTCAGATTTAAAAGCCAAGAGGGTAGCTCTGCACAGTTTTAGTGCACACCTGGCATTAAATTATCACTGCTCCGCACACAGACTACTAAACCGGAGCTGAAACAGCATAGCAAAAAGCTACTTTTGGGTAGAGTATAATATAGCAGGAATTATTTCTAGTGTATACACTACAGAGAGCCTAGCAACATCAAACCAAACCGCCAGGAGTCAAAGGTAGCTTTCTGATATTTGCTCAAGCTATTAGGGCATGCTATAATATTTTTCCATATAGAATTTATAGATCGAGAGAAGCAGTTGATCTTTTTGAGACTAGCAAAAAATCAAGATGGAAAATGGAAAGCTGATATCTAATTCTATGAAAATCTGCCACAGCTCTATATTTATTACAGGCCTATCGCAGCACATCCTGCTCAAAGACTTACAGAAAATGTGTTGCTAACTACCAGGGAATTATTGATTTTTTAATTTTTTCCCCTCATAGTGCTATTGCTTGGCTATGGTAGAACCAATGACTTGGAGAAGGGGGGGGAAGAATCAATATTACTATTATCAGCTGTTGACTACAGTTTACAGCAGCAATAACCTCCTTTAAAATAGCTTGCAGAAGTACCAGTTGTCATCTGCGTAAGGTATTACTGTTTTGGTCAAATCATTAAATGCTGATAGTATTTGATGTTTTGATGATTTTGTTTTGGTTAAATTAAGTTTTGGTGACCATCAGTATTGTCTAAACTTCAGATCTGAACCTCGTCTGGCTGAGAACTGCAGTGCTTGCTGTTGGCAGCATCTTTTCCGTACTGATGAGAATGATTCATTCCCCTCATTAAGAGCAACTCATTTTTAACATCCCATGCCATTTCATACACTGTATTTTACTTCAGTATTTAGATGTGCCCCCAGTCACTAAGGTCTGCACTTCCTCCAGTAATGCCTTACGTTACATGATAAAATTTTTCACTTTTTTCCCCCCCACACAACTTCTTCCCAGAGAGGGAGGTCCTGCAGGGTAATGCTTTCTCTCAATACAGTTTTCTGAGCATTTTTTTCAACTGTTAGAGTGGGAAAGCATGGTTCTGAGAGGCTTCCTAGTTCCTGTACCATCACCTTAGGATGGTCTTCAGCAGACCTGCACCTCCAGAGCACAGAGCAGCTCGGCTCATACGAGTAAAGCTTTCCTGTGCCAGAAGAGAAATGTCACTGGTTACATCTACCTTGGAGTTTTAGTTTGGCTCAATAGTGAGACTGTGATGCGCTTTACCCAATTTTCTCCGTCTTCTGCATGCTAGACCATTCGCGGAGCAATTTTGGCACTCACAAACTAGAATAATTTCAGAGAAAACTTCCTGCATGTTCTGCATGAGCTGTGCACAAAATGCTAGTAGCACGTAATGAAGGCACAGGAATCCAAATCAACGGCTGACCTTCAAGGGAGCTTTGAGCAACACGCACAGGGACGTTTCGTTTAAGGGAACAGACTAAATCTAATCTGAAGTAAAAGCCAAGCTGTCTACAATATAGATGTAGGCACTTCAATGTTAGCTTCTCTCATCTATTGGTTCAGTCCTTATATATCTAATTACTTGCAAATGTAGATGTAACCATTCAGAGCTTTAGGCCACCTTCTGTGTACCTTGGAGAAAGCGCCTGCCCGCAGAGTTAATTTGATTTATCAGCCTATGGCATCTTGGAGATATTTTGGGGTTTTAACTTATTTTGAAAGCTCCTTCTGAAGGCCACAGACATAGAATCCCTGAGTGCTGAATACATACAGAAAAGGCAGTTATTGGTCTTCTCAAAGGCACTGGGTATTTCCATAAATGTGAATTTATATCTGAACATGTTTACATATATATTTATGTCACTCTTTCAAGACAATGAATAAACTTTAATAAATTGTTTGGTTATGAAGAGGATCAGTCCTGTAGTTATTAGTAGACTGAAAGTACAAGAGCAGTAGTTTTTAATGCTAACATGATACTCAAAACTTTGAGGAAACAAAAGGCAATTTTGCAGGTTTTCTTTGTAACACAATCTAGCGTTAACCTCTTTGTTGATGTCGTAAACATTGTATATTCAATACATTGTAAAACATGTATGTAATGAAAAATATTAGTCATTGCATCCTAGAAGATGCTATGTGTACCTTTTCTCCAAACACTAGAAGTGCTGATCAGAGAAGCCGGTCACTTGCTGGAGATCTCACAAGAGGAACTAACTAGATGTAGAAGGAGCTGTCACTCTTGCCCTCCCCCTGCTCACATCAGAAGGCTACCCTGCCTGCCAATCTAATTGCTTAGCTTACACTGTTTTTACCCTTTCATCTTTTTCTGATATTGACTTAAAGCCTGTAATTTGTTACACCTGGAACTTCATCAGTTAAGGGTCTAAGAAACATGCCAAAGGTCCACCCACGTAGCACCTATCACTTGTACAGAAAGTATTTCAAAATCTTTCAAGTTAACATTAAAATACATTCTAGATGCACAGTTTTTCCAGGTAGATGGGTCAGACAACTGCCACTCATGTTTGTGGGGCTAGGGGTTAACAAGAAGTTGTACTGTAGCGTTTTTGCTCATGTTATCTACAAGCTAAAGACAATATAGAATATTGCCACAGGAACTTTTTTCTAGAACAATGCACAAAACCCTAATGAAACTGCATTTATAATATAACCTCAATAAAAATTTTAATAACGCTTGTTCATATATCACATCTGTCAAGAGAAAGTGATAGTTCATATTACATTTGAGACATAGAGTGTTGAGTTATATAAAATAAGTGTATACAGCACGTGTCTTAATCACTTTGATTATTGGTAGCTTTTAATGATTTAAGAATTAGAAATTTAAAGTTGTCTATCTCTCTTATCTTTTAAAGGAGCATTTTTCTGAACCCAGCCTATTTCCGGAATCACCTGCGCCAAGCTGCTGCGTTTAGGTCCTTAGGGAGATACTCCGAAGCTGCAAGGTACTCTGGTGCTCATGGATTTCTAATGGTTTCTCTACATCTCTTTCATTCCAGCTCTCAGTAGTAAGGACATCATGTTACATCCAGGCTTTTCCAAAATCAGTGGGAGCTCTGTGTTGGCTTTGTGTATATGATCTCACACGCAGCAGAGCTCCAATCCTCCCGGTTGGTGTAACATGAATAATCCCAATTATGTCCCTAGTTGCGGTTAGGCTAATGTATGTAGGAACATTTTGGTTTTGGGCACAGGGGTGAGCCCTGATCAGGTCCCAGGGCTATGCTGGGGGAAAAGCGACTTGCACACAAGCATTTTCCACTCCCTGGTTCCCCTGTGACCCTGCTCTGGGTGGATGAAGAGGGAAAAAAAAAAAAAAAAATCAAGACCTCAGGGTACACTGTGGTATGCTGCAAAATTTAGCCTGTGTGCAGCTGATGAGTTTGCTGGTGTGAATGGTAACGGCTGGCAGGAGGAAAGCCTACAAGAGGAAGCTCTGCTTGTATGGTTGTATTAATGCTGCCAAAAACTAAAAGTTTCGACATGCAGGAGAAGTCTTTAACCACTTAACATGCTTAAATAGAAGAAATGCATGAGGAAATGCAACGGTGACTTGGTATGTGTCACCGTTATTACTAACACTTAGAGAGGACTGTTCAGCTGAAGACCACAAGGTATATCACTAAATATTTCACAAATCATTAGCTAACTAATGGCAGAACAGTCAGCATGAATTAGGCAAAAGACTGAAAGGGTCACTTTGCTCATCCTTTAAGATGGATGCTAGTGGTAGAGCTCTGAAGCTACTAAAATAGCAGCAAAACAGTTTGTACAGGGAGTGGAAGAAGGCTTTATCCAAGCAGAGTTGCAGAGAGGATTTGGGAAGATGAACTTCAATTTTATGTGCTGGACTTCAGCCAAAAACTCCAGGACAAGCACTTTTCTTTCTGCAGGAAACACGTTGAAATTATGTCAAAGTAATCTCCACTAGCTTTCACAGGTCAGGACAGGAAGAAGAAATCAGTTCCCCAAGGCAAGGAAACAGTTTTTCCAAATTTCTTTAGAAATATGACTTCAGATAGACCTGGAATATTTCACTTGACCATAAACCCACCCACCCCTTAAAAAAAAAAAAAAAAAAAAAAAAAAAAAAAAAAACAACAACAAAAAGCACCCCACAAACACCCCCCCAAAAAACCCCAAACAAACAAAAACCCAAACAACAAACCAACCAACCCCCCCCCAAAAAAACACAGCTCACTTTTTAAACAAAGCTGTTTCAAACTAAGAAAGTGAAACATTCTGTTGAAAAACAATGGAATGCTGTGATAGTTCCCTGCTCTTCTTTTATATTTCACTGATAACAATCTCTTCACCCTAAAATTTTGTTGGGGTGTTGATTCTGAGAGAAATTGTCATTCACTGAATCATCAACCGTTGAGGTCCACTGATCAGCCAGACAGTTTAGAGTTGTGTTAGGAGAGTATGTTGCCGTGTGACAGGTGGGAAATCCTGCCCAGGTTACTTTCAAACCCCTAAATTCACTAGTTTCCCAACAGGTGAAGTGATACAAGGGGAATTGTTTGGGGTGATGGGGGGGAAGGGGGGGAGGGTTTTCCCCTTGAAGTCAGCTTCAAGATTTTTTTAAAAAAATAATGAGTTAAAAAAATACACTTTCAGAAACTGATCTTTCCTAAGAAGTAATACATATAAATGCCCATATTTGAAAAGTCATTATGAATCAAGAAGGTGTTCATAAATATGATTTCAAAAATAAATAAAATTGTGGCCAGTGTTACTGCAGATAAGCGATCCGTATGTTTACTCCACCAGCAGGCAAGAGGGAACTCTGTTGGCCTTTTTCACCCACATTGAGTAGCTTTCAGGAAACTAGATGATTTTAAATGAGTTTACGTATTTTGTAAAGAACATTCTGACAGACTGAATCCAGAGTGGTTCCAAAAGCAGTGACTATAGCAGTATTCAGAGTTTAGCCTAGTTTAACAGAGTGTTATAGCAACTGTGCAGAGCTGCTTCTGCAGATTGTGTTAAACTAAGCTTAGCACTTCTTCTGTCACCTCACTGGAGTCACTGGTCTAGTCAAACCCCACTAACAGTGCAGAATGTACTCTGCTCCTCACAGCCAGACCATGGCATACAGATACTCGGCCACAGTTTCTGGAAATACAAACTTGATTTCTGTTAGCACAAGTCATTTATTTCTGCTTGCTTTTTGCACGAGAACAAGGTCACTCTATTCCTTTTTCTGCTTTTAAGTATTGCTTGCCTTTCCATCCCCTGGTGTGATTTTTAAGTTATTGCATAGTCCATTAAATACACCCAGAACGCTGTACGGGTGTGTGAACAGGACTGGCTGGTTGGGAACAGTCCTGCTTGGCGCAAGCAGCATGGATAATCACATTTAACCCAGCCTACCTATCAAGCCGAGATCCCCTGAGATTTTGTCTCCAAGGACATACCAGACCAAATTCTTCGCTTCAGAGAAAGTCATAGGTTAGAGTAGGGTCAACTATAATTTAAGCATCTCTCAAGTTCCTCTGTGTGTAGTTTTCACTAGTACAGCCCAGTATCAGGAGAATAAGCACATGAAGCAGTCTAAATGCAAGGACGTCTGAATTAATGTAAGGAGGCTGATATGCCCATCTCTGCATCGCTTTGTGATTTTTGCCAGCTGCAATAGCAATTCCGTCAGGATAGCACTGTGATAGGATGCCACCACATAGAGTGCAGCCTGAGGCCACTTGGCATTGTAAAGCAATCCTAGAAACACCACTGTGGGGTCACAGCATCTGCAAACGATGAATTCCAAAGTGCTGCAACCACTTCCACTAAGATGTCAGCTAGTAAATATATTTCTCTCCTATTGGTATCTCTAATGTGAGAAGACTGCTCTTGACAAACACAGTAAAGATTTAAACCTCGGGAGGGAGAAACCAATTTCACTTCAAAGACCATCTTGGCCCTTGAACAAATGGGCATAAATGTATTATATATAAATTTAGTCTGGAAGTTACCAGGAAGCTTTAGGCCTTAGAAGGCATTTAGGCTTAGGATCAGCCTCCAATAGCAGCTACTAGAAGTACCCTGACAAAGGACACGCTGTCACAGACGATCAAAAGATCACTTAATAACCAGAATGGAAAGTTCAGCAAAGGGTCCCAGGCTCACTTCTGTCCCAAAACTGAGAAAATGCTCTTGGAGAAGGCCAAGGCCAAGGCAAACTCAGCCTTCCTGGGCTGCTACTTTGGGGAAGGATGAGATAAGAGACATGTATATGCAAGGGAATGCGTAAGCTGCAGAAGAACCTCAGACATCCATCTTATCTCTAAGGACAGAGCAGACAAACCACTGGCTTCTGCTTTCAAGGACCAGAGTGCTAGAAAAGGAACATGCACCCCAAGGGCAAGCCTCAAAGCTCCTGAAGGAAGAGTTATCAGAGCCTCTGTGTCCTTCAAGTCACCAAGGCCGTGGGCTGCACCCGCAGGAGAAGCTCTAATCACAAGAGGCCTGAAAGGAGTTTTTCTTCTCTACTCAAATAGTGTAGGCTATTGCTGACGCTGAATAGCCTTGAATCAGTAGTAAGGTGAAAAGTTGTAACTTAGTGAAAAATATGGCCACCTATTTGCTTTGAAACCGGAGTTTTAAGTACAGAAGGGATTTTGCCCATTTTTCTCATTAAGCTGTATGGCTCTCATCTTTCTGCTAATCAAAATGCTGTGCCGATTTAACAGTGTCACTGTGTTCTGTGAAAAGCTTAAGATAGCTCTTTTATCACCAGCTAGAACACTGGTGACTTGAAATCAGTTGTATACATGTAGGGGAAAACAGACTGTCTGTCCCTCTGCCAGAACAAACAACTCATATTCATCTGACTGCATAGAGTAGGGGTAAGAAATCCTTAAGGAGGAAGAAGTTTTAGGATCTTAATAGCAGTGGTATGGCTGACTCAGCTTTTTGACATTCCTATTAAAAAAAAAAAAAAAAAAAAAAAATAATCCCATCAACAAACTAGGTTTGCAAGTAGTAAACCTCAGTACTCTGTAACAGAGTTCAGGTCTGTGTCCCCTTGCAGTCAGACTTGAAAACGTAGTGTGAGAAATCTAGGTGAATAATTTGGGGGGGTTATATATATATATAATTTGTATGTTGGGTTTTATTTTACAAAGCGTACAGCTGTACTCGGGATAGCTATATAAATAGTGGGGTTGGGGATACAAGCTCAAGGAGCCACCAGTTCGTGGCCACTTGCACACACCTGCATCCGTGCCACCCGCCTTTGCATCCCGCCTGGGTTTTCTCTTGGCAAAACAGAGAAAAAGGATATATTCTTTCTCCATCCTAATTGTTTCAGTTTTCCTAAACCGAAATAAATAAACAAAAAAAATCCATTTCTATAAAAAGAAAAAAAAAATGTTGTCATAGCAACCGACCCCCCCACCCCACCCGTCTCAGCTCTCCCTGGGCCCGCGGTTCGCCAGCACGGGGGGAGCTCTCGCAGCCGGCGGGGGGG